TCTAAAATCTTCTTTTTGGTGAAGCAGCGAAATTCATAGTTAATCCAAAGCTGATAAAGTTTTCTGAATCAAATTGCCAGAAATGTAAAACTAATTTTATTTTGCTGCAGTGTTCTTACAGTAATCCTTCAAAATAAGAACTGACACTTTCAGAGCGCATTCACTCAGCTTCAGATAGACTACACGCGACACTTCTAAATCTTTTTTACATTCAGTTAGATTTATGCTAAACATTCTAGCGAACTCTACATCTTCCTCAACTAAAACGTAGAAATTGCATTGAAAACACGAGCGAACTCTGAGTGTGGGTGCGAGTCGTCTTTGTGATTCTACCCGCACCCACGCCCACACCCTGAAAAAAAGAATGACACTCACTTATCTCTTTTTATTTCAACTTTGAATTATGCACTGCACATATTGGATAGAAAAGAAAACATTCAGTTTTAAATGAACTGCTTATTTCTTTTTAAAAGAGTCCCTAAGACACCGAAAAAAAAAGAATTGTGTGATGTTGTTACCTTTTTTTCATTCGTTATTTGATTCGTTGATTTTTCTAGTAGAGACACACTGTTGCTTCTATTTGTAAAAGATTTAATAGAACAGCACCCAGATTATTTTATTGCTGCATTCGATTAGATTTGAAAAATTTATTTTGATATTTTTACTTTCCGATGAACATTAGCTTTATAAATTTTTTTCTTATTTTCTCTTTTAGATTATTGCTAAGAAAAACTTCTGTTACAGTATGTATAAATTCAATGAAGAAAAACATGAAAAAAGCGAAATAATCGTTCAGGATAGTTTTTGCTTGAAGATGACAAAGTCTTTTGTTTGAGTTAAAAACCCGAAGTTTTGAGAGTGTATTCATCCTTTTCTTATGAGTATTCTTTTAAAACAAAACACTTAAAATCATAATCGTCGCATGATGTTGTAATGCTGCATCTCTGAAGCCAGATTATTTACATTTCTTTTTCCTTTCATTAAAAAGATAAATTATTTGTCGATCGCCTAAGTGATTGTGACTCTGTACCTTTGTGTCACTCACACTCGACTGACAACCTTGAATGTAATTTTAAATCATGTTTTATCTGTAGTCAACAATTTATGTAAGACATGTACTGATCGAGAAAGGTAATGCACATAGTCACAGTATTGACACTTCAAAGACGAAACGATGTCTCTTCCTACATTCACTTTCACCTCTTCG